GGTTTTCGGTTTGCATTTTATTAACAGTTAGATTTAGGGTTCGGCTTGGGTAATAGTGAACGGTTAACCAACCAAACCGAAAATCAATCTATACATGTGTGTGTGTATATATATCATATTTAATATATTTTTATTTATACATATAAGTTACAAAAGCATTAATTTACTTCAATAACCCCTAAAATGGCTCGAACATTAATTTTCGTTCAAGATTTGTTTCGTCAAGCCATGATTTGGGTCCGAGATCTTCCTTAGAGCATAATTTGAAATTTATTGAAAAAAGTAAACAAAATTAAGATTTCTTTTGTTCCAAAAAAAAAAAAAAAAAAAAAAACATACAATCATTCTTTCATACCAAACTTACAGTAGTTTTACTTTATACATTGTCACGTTGCACTTTATAAAACAACGTGTTGCACTTTATAAAACGTAACGTTGCATTTTATCACGACAATCCACAATTAAACGTCGATAATTTCCACCAAAACACCACGCCATTTAAATCTAAAAAAATATATTTACATAATATCGTAGTTTAGTTCGGTAACGACTCTATTTTTTTTCTTTAAAAAATAAATGTTAATTATCTTAATTAAATGTTCGATCGATTGCACATTAATTTTATACGGATTGCACTTTATAAAACAACGCGTTGCACTTTATAAAACATAACGTTGCACTTTATCACGACAATCCACAATTAAACGTCGATAATTCCAGCCAAAACACCACGCCATATAAATCTAAAAAAATATATTTACATAATATCGGTAGTTTAGTTCGGTAACGACTTTATTTTGTTATTTTAAAAAAAATAAATGTTAAGTATCTTAATTAAATGTTCGATCCATTGCACATTAATGTTATACGGATTGGACATTAGTGATTTCCAAATTCCACTATATCGACTGAACCCGACCGAACTAAGTTTTTTGGTTCGAGTTTTACATGTCAAATTAATTATCTATTTTTTACCTTTCAAATTTTAGTTTATTTCGGTTCAATATCAACTTTAATTTAAAATAACATAAATAATCGGACCGATCAAACTATATAAAAAATATTTGATTTTTTTATGTTTTTATATTAAAATATTATTATTTTTTCAATAAAAAAGAAAAAAACAAAATGTTAGATAGAAAATATTAGACTACTAAATAAAACTTTATAATATAGATAATATTTAAAGTCACTTATTTTGGCTTCTTCAATTAACTGATCAAATTAATTAATTAATTCGGTCATGTTTAAAATTTAGTATGGGACACAAGTTCGTTCGGTTCATACTGTACAATCGTGACTGAAACCGTGCACAATAGTGTTAGACACATTGCACATTAATGTATGCCAAGATGCACATTATTTTGCATTTTATTTATTATTGTGTTGAATATATTAAACTTTTAATAAATTACGGATTTGCCCCAAGTACTAAATCATAATATATGAAAAGTTACAAAATTGCATATAGATCCCTAGAACTTGTCAAATTTTCAAATGAAAGTCCCCAAACCAAAAAAAAAAAAATCTCCAACCCCAACCCGCCACCGGCGACGCAGATTCCGGCCGCCGCCGTCTCGCCGGTCCTCTGCCATCTCGCCGGTCCTCCACCGCGCCGTCACCCCTGAGTCTTCTTCTGCCACAAAGTTTCAGAGGTTTCATGGAATATTGAAATTCCGGCGACGAGCTCATACAGTGGTGTCTCGGCTGCCACAGAGGATGACGGTAAACGGGACGACGACGGAGATGGTCCTGTTGGACATCTGGACACGGTGGTCGACGGTGACCGAGATGGTTGGAGCTTCGGTGGGTGCTCTGCTGTGGAACGCTGAGAGAAGGGAAGGCTACGGCGGCTGACTGACGGCGGGAGATGGGAGGGCGAGGCCGTCACCGGGAGAGAAGGTAGATAGGATGCCGGAATTCATGCCGGACATGAGTCGTCTGTGAAAGGGAGAATGGAGAGATGGCGAGAGAGAGATACGGCGGCGGTAGAAGGCGGCGTCTGGCGGCAGTAGAAGGCGGCGTCGGGCGGCGGCTGTTGGTGGCAAGATGTATCTCCGGCGGACACGAGAGCGGCAGAGGATGGAAGAAAAATATTCAGATCCGTTTTGTGTGTGTCTCTGCGTGAGAGAGAGATAACAAGGGAGAGAGATAGGAGAGGGGAGAGAGTGGCGTGCAATTCATATGGGTGGGGTCCACTGAATTTGTTAATTCGTAAATTACACTACTGCCCTTTAATGTGATTATTTGTCCATGAAATATTAATATAATTACAATCTTGCCACTCAGGTTTGACCATTATAATTTAATTTGACTTCATCATGTGCATTAATATAATTGATCCAATGGTCTATTATTATTCTTATTTCTTTCACTATCTACCATTCTCATATGATCCCTTCTCTCTCTCTATATATATATATATATATTAAGTTTCTTAATTTGCGAACAAGCCTTGGAAATTGTCTAATTTACAAAAATCAGACCCCCCAATTTCCAGCCCAATTTCAAAAATCGAGACATGTGCCTCTTCCTCAAGTGAATCTCAATACTCAGATTTTTTCAAGCCACTGCACGACAACGGGTGAACGGGAACAAGATCTACGGCGGATTTAGAATCGGCGGCGTCTTCAAAACTGTCGTGGTGACGTCGGCCGGCGGGAGGTGCGACGGCGAGAATATGGCTGCGTTCCGCAGAGATTCTGTGCGACTAAACAGCAGCGCTCTTGCCTGCGTGAAGCTTTGGGCCGATGTTGACGGCGGTCGTTTCTCGAACCTCGTCATTCTTGCGAGAGTCCGGCGGAGGCGACGGGCTGTGGCTGACCGACGTGAAAATTGGGGAGGAGGCTGACGGCGGAGGCGCGGCGGCGAGAGGTGTGCTGGTGGCTGGCGACGGGTGGTGGTCCGGCGGCGGCAGACGTGCTCTGTGTGTGTATATGTCGATTTGTGAGAACGAATTGTGAGAGAGGGTTATTAAAAGAAAATAGATATTTAATTGGTGAGTGGGTCCCACATATATATATAAAATTAGGATCATATGAAAATGGTAGATAGTGAAAGAAATAAAAATAAATATAGACCGGGATCAATCATACCAATGGTTAAGAACAGTCAAAGACACGGTGGCATACTCGTAAATAACTTAAAATCCTTTGGTCAAATGTAGTCATCTTACGGTAATTATGTAATTTTGCCTACACCACCTAATCAATGGGCCCCACCCATCACAACACAACCCACTCATTATCTACCTCTCACACACACACACACACACACACGTAACAACACACGCACATAACACACACACGGCAGACCACCGGCACGGCCGCTCGCCGCCGGCCAGCCACCAGCACCGAGGCCGATGCCTGCCCCGCGGTCTAATGGATTTCGGCGCCGCCGAGTGCCAGCCCCGCCGCATCCCAGGTGTACCACCATCTCTACCAGTGGACCGCCGTCGGCCATGCTCCGCTGTTACAGCCGCAGAGTCCGCCTTCTGCCGCCGGCGACGCCATTCCCGTCGTCAGCCTACAAACACACACACAAAGTTATCGCGCACATGCCCGGTCGTGCTGAGCCACCAGACGACTCCCGACGCCCGATCCTGTCTTCCGGCAACCCAGCTTTCCTCCTCCGCCGCCGCGTCTTTCTCCCCCACCATTTGTCATCTCTTATCAGCTCTCTCCCACCATCTGTTTTCTCTTCACCCGTCAGCCCTGCCGCACAGCAACTAGCCCGCCGGCGGCAGATCAAGCCCCGCCGTCCGCCACCATAGCCATCCTCATCCTGTTCGATTTCTGCAGAATCGTGATTTTGGGGATTAGGCTTTTTTGTTTTCTGGAAACTTGATAATTGAAAGGGCCTGATTGCAATTACACTATATTTTATATATTACAATTAAGTATGTGGGGCAAATGTGCGATTAAGTAAAAGCAATCACATCCCCCCTATATATAATTCCCCAATGCGCTGAGCCTACGTGGCTGTTTCTGGTGCTTCAGAATCCTACTTGGCGAAGAATCATGCTTCGTATTTTGGTTTGGACAAAAAATATTGTTATTATAGATAATTAATTTAGGTTCGGACATTCCATATATATTCAAAAGCTAACTTAGGTAATTTCATAACACTTTGACTAATATAACCCTTTAATTCCTTTATACTCTTACTTAATGCTATTGAGTGACTAATTTAACCCTGAATTTAACCCTGGATCTGCCTCTACTCTTCATCACTCTCGCCGGCGCTTTCTCTTCCTCTTCGCGTTACTTTCGCCGTCATTATCATCTTCTTAAACATCTTATTATTCCAATTGATTTTGCACCCGTGTAATTTGATGATAATTCCTTCAAGCTCCACTTAATTTTCACAAATTCTTACAAGTTCAGTGGATGCAACTTACAAATTCTCACAAATTCTACATTCGTGAATTACGCGACTTGTGACTCCGAATAAAAAAAAATGATCTCCTTGGCTGAGGTTGGTGTTGCAAAGCTCACAGGTACTAATTCGATTGCCCTGTGTTCGATTATCGTCTAAAATTATTTTTTTTATTCATTCACGAACTGCTTTTGAGAAATTTTTCGATTCCTGATGGTGATCAGTTCATTATCAGTTCAAGTTTTATTTTTTTTGTCGAGTCCTAAAGTTGTTCAAGTTTCGTTATTAGTTTAAAGTTTTATTTGTCGAGTCCTGAATTTGTGAGAGTTTTATTTTTTGACTGCTCTGCTTACATCCAGTTTTATTAGTTTTTGACTGTCTGTTCAAGTTTTATTTGTTCAAATTTTATTTCTTGTCATATTCTCTTTAACTGATCTGTTTACATTTCGTTTCATTATTAGCATGGTGTTTATTGTCTTCCAGAGACTAGAGATGACACACACAAACACTTTAGCAATCTTGCCAATAAAGTCGTACGTAGAGTAGACTGTGGTGAATAATCATTTTTTTGGAATAAATGTTGTGTATTTCTTTTGATTAATATGCCAAATTAACATAGTCACTATTGAAGGTAGGTATGCAATCTTTATCAATAAGCATCATGTTTAAGATTTTATCCGTGTATGCAATATTTCTATATAGAAAGTATTGTATTTCATTTGAGTAATATGTGAAATGAACCACGGTGAATATTTTGTATCTCAATATTTTTTATATAGAAAGTGTTATCTTGAAAATATTTTATCTAATTATATTATAGTTTCCATAAATTATTTTTTGAATTATTTTATGTTCCATTGGCAATATTTCATAGTGAAATATATATATATATATATTGGCGATTCAACACAGTGAAAACATTACTTCTACCTGTGAAAGAAAAGACATGGCTTCTACTTTCAATTCCATTGCTCAGATCACCGCAGAAAAAGAAACTTGGAAAATACGTGTTAGGTGTGAGCGAGTATGGTTTAAGTTTATGAGAAGTCAACCCGATGTTCGCACTGCAATGGAAATATGTGTTCTAGACGAGGAGGTATTCATTTTTTTTTATTTTTTTGTTAATTAACGTTATTTCACTATAAGAATGTTGTGTTTGTATTAAAACTTAATGAAGGTGTTATTTCTTTAGGGTGATAAGATTCAAGCCATAATTCCAAAATGGCGTATTTCGAAGCTGGAGAATATTATTAAGGAAGGATCATTCTATGTACTAGAAAATTTTGAAATACTTCCAAATAATGATGAGTACGCGCCAACAAAACACCCTTATGTTTTGAAGTTTCACGAGTGCACTTCTGTTAGGCCGTCGGGGATTGTCAATATTCCCCGTTACATTTTTAACTTCGTCAACTTCAGCGACCTTGCGAGTAATGCTGATTACTCTTTGCGCGTGTTTGGTATGTTTCTCAAAATTTATTATTTTTTTATCGAAACTATACATACATAATTTATATAAGTTTATTTGTATACTTATTCGTTTATAAATTTATTATGGTTTTACATATCAAAATTTATTATTTTTTTATCGAAACTATACATACATAATTTATATAAGTTTATTTGTATACTTATTCGTTTAAAAATAATAAATGGTTATAAATACGTAGATGTTATTGCCGAAGTGTATGGTATGGATGAGCTGGTTAAATACGACCGGGATGGTCGCCAAATGATGAGGATTAAGGCACATTTACGTAACTTGAGGTAACATTTTATTCTTCATTCATATATTTGATGATATTAAATTTATTAGTTCTTGTGGATTTTTACTATGAGTGACTGACTACATTTTTCCCGAATTTTCTTAATTATTCAGCCTTTATTATGTATCTCAACTGGTTGCATTTTGATTGATTTAAACTCTATGATTATATCTCTATACTCTATTGCACTATTGACATGTATGTATCTTTCAAATGCAATTATATTACTGTAAGCCTTGAACATCCAAAAATTCGTCTAAACTCTGGGAGCATTGCAAAGTACTTAGACTGACCAAAAACATGAGACTAAATGTTGGACAGTCAGAATCTCACGCAACTGCTGAGGAAATTAAAGAGTTCTCTGATTGGATCATAAAAATTGGTGATGGTCAAATTGGTGTTGAAGTTGATGGAGAAATGTTAGTCGATATTCCTCAGGACATACTAATACACTGTGCAGATGATCATCTTACAGCTATTGTTGAAAGTACATATCCTTCATTGCTGAGCAATTTTTATGATCCATCATTCTTCGAAGGGAGGGCTATACTTGCACCGACGAATAATATTGTTGAATCTGTTAATGATTTTATTATGTCAATGATCCCCGGTGAAGAACGTACTTATCTTAGCTCTGACAGCATATGTAAAAGCTTCGTTGGTTCAAACAAACAGCATTCAGTGTACACAACAGACTTTCTGAATGGAATCAAGTGCTCTGGCATTCCAAATCATGTCCTGAAATTGAAGGTTGGTGTACCTGTTATGTTGATTCGAAACATGGATCAATCTTCTGGCTTATGTAATGGCACTAGGTTGATCATCACTCAACTTGGTGATCGCGTTATTGAAGCGAAGATTTTATCTGGGGGTAACATTGGTAGCAAAGTCCTTATTCCACGAATGTTGTTGAGTCCGTCTGATGCTAGATTGCCATTCAAATTCCAACGAAGACAATTTCCCCTCTTGGTGTGCTTTGCGATGACCATTAACAAGAGTCAGGTACAAACATTGTCCAACGTTGGGTTGTACCTACCTAAATCAGTATTCAGTCATGGTCAGCTTTATGTTGCAATATCTAGAGTTAAGAGCAGAAGAGGTTTGAAAATTCTTTGTTGCGACAATAATGGGAATATTGTAAAACGCACTAATAACGTTGTATACCGAGAAGTTTTTCAAAATTTGAAATAATATTACAATTTCTGTTTTTATTTTATTATTTATTTTGTATCTTTATTTTTTTATATTTTTATATAACTTATTGTAGTTCTACCTTTTGTGAAACATAAATTGTTTTAATAACCCGTGTATTACACGGGTGTTGCACTAGTTAGGTTTTATATATTAAAATTTAGTATGTGAGCAATCACTGGTATAATTTTACGAAATTACATAATCGTGCTTCAACCGATTCATAAATTTACTAAAATTAAATAATATATAAAAATAATTTACGTGAAAAAAATACTAATATCATTTATATAAAAGTGTCAAAAAATAAAAAAAATAATATTTATTATATAGTCCGGTTAGTTCACTTATTTAAGTTATTTAAGAAAATAATTTGACATCGTACCGAAATAAACAATTATTTAAAATTAAACAAAAAAAGGAAGAAAAGATAATCATTTTGTAATATAAATTTACGAAAAAAAATGATCGATTTCGTTCAATATTGTGCAATCTGATACTCGTTAATGTGTAATTCGTATAATACAATTATGCGCTCGCAAACGTTTTCAATTAATTTTTTTCAAATCGAAATAATCAGTTTATACTATCGGTTACAATAATCGAAATAGTCTATTATTTATATTATAAAATGTATTTATAATTTTAATATTTATATTTAATATTTCTATTATTCCTTAATTAAAAAGACATAATAATAAAATATCGAAATAATAATGTGCATTCGCACATACATTAACGTGCATTTCGTGTAACATTATTGTGCAATCTATTGGTTGATTATTTTTTATTTGTATTTCAATCTTATAAACTTTAAAGATGCGTTTCAATCAAATTTATTTTGCATTTAATCATTTATCAACTTATTCATACAATAAATATAATTTTAGTTTAGTAAATTTTTTATTTAACATTCTATATTATTGTTTGTTGAAAACAAATAAAAGAATGACAACAAAATTCATTGATAAATTATTGTAAATTCCTGAAAGCAATAATGTTCATTTAGGCTAATGATATAGTGCAACCTAACAATCATTAATGTGCATAATGCTTAACTAGTGCGTGGCCCGTGCGATGCACGAGAAAACAATATTTTGATTGTATGATAAATTGAATAAATAACATTAATCATGATTTATCCATTATTTTTAAATTAAACCGGGTTGGAAACAGTCTGACCGGATGGACCGAGAACCAGTTTATAACCAGTCTAGTACGCTTGAATAAAATATTTGCTATCGAATCTTTCAACACCAGTCTGTTGGATTGGAAGGATCGATACGATTTTCTAAACAAATTTTGTTACATTAAAAATAATTTTAAATAAAATAGAGATTTATAAATTGTTTATCAATTAATTTAAACATTTGAATTTATAAATTGTTTAGATATTTAAGTAACACTTTTTATTTAAATTAATTACAAAAAGTACTAAATATATATATAAGTATTATGTATTAAAATTTGAACAACCACAAATGATTTAATAAAATAACTTGATCGTTTCGATGACGGTCCGGTTCTGAAAACCTTATATTTACCGTACATTAATAAAAAAATATAATAAAATAATTATTTTGTTCACATAAATAATAATAAAATGATATATAAATATTTATTAATCATTAATCATGTTGTCATAAAAGTATTGTTAATATGATTATTTAAAATTTGGACTACATCACATTCACGTAATAAAGTATTCTCAATATTAAAATTTATATTTAGGTTCAATAATCGATTTGGTCTGGTCAAACTGATACATAACTTAGTTACCTGGGACCAACTAAGTTGTTTCAAAGTTTTTTGACTATTTTAAATATCACCTAAAAGTAATTCAATCAACGTGGGCAGTACCCTAATTCAATCACCCGATTAATTCAAAGTAATTTCCTTATTTTCTTTAGATATAATATTTAATTTTATGAAATAAAAAAATTTTATGATTCATATGTCTACACCAAATAATAGTATATTAAGATTGTAAATTATATATCTAAAGATGAATTATTTATTTTTATTTTATGCATATTAATAAAAAATAAACATAGTAATTTAAAAAAAAAAATCAAGATTAATTGATTAGTATGCAATTTAAAGAATATTTTTAGCGTTCAATATATATATATATATATATTAACATGATTGAATTTTTGGATTAGAATATATATATTTAAAATGATTTTATTATTAAAAGTAAAAAAGAAAAGATGCCATAAAGATTACAACTTTGAAAAGTTTGTAAACATTAATTTAACTTTGATAAGTATGTAAACATTAATTTAGGGACCATCACATTTTAAATGATTTTATAATTTTTGAAAGCATCTAAAACCCATTAATTTAGGAACCATCCAATTTTTTATAATGAATTAAAATTAAAATGTAAAATAAAGAAATTGCTGAAAATAGTATATAATAAATGTTGTTTGACTTTTCTTACTACTATTTATGGTAAATGTTAATTCTTATTATATATATATAGATTATATTTTGCATTCCGTCCAGGTTTTTTTATGTGTAAATTCAATCGAATATAATTAAAACAATTAAAATATTTATTATCTATTATTGTAAAGGTTATTTAATATTTTAATACTTTGATATTATTTTTGGTTAGAAACAATATAATGCAATTTTTGTTCTGATGGATCGGTCGTTGTTGTGCAATTTGATAGGCGTTAATGTGCAATTTCTCTTACACTATTGTGCACTGATAGCGTATATATTTTTAACGTGTATGTAATATTGTGCATTTTATTTATTATTAATATGTGTTTATTAAAATTTTATAAATTACATATTTTCCTAAGGTACATTTATTATCAATCGAAATATATTTGTATTTTTTAAGGTACATTTCTATAAGGTGCATTTCATATAACATCTAATATATATTGCTATGCATTTCTATCCCCAATTTCATTTTATATAACATTACTATTCATTAATTAAACTTTTGACAAATTGTAAATTTACCCCAGGACCTAAAGTAGAATATTCAAAAAACTTATAAATTGCTCATAGGTCCTTTCTATTTATCTAATTTCCACACAAAAACCCACAAATCTCTTATCCATCTACCATGCGTGTCAATAATGCGGAGCCGCCGCCACACAGAAAGAAGATGAAGACGACGGCGTCGGACGCGGCGGCAGCCTAACATGTAATCTCGTCGAATGACACCATTAATGGCCAGGAGCTCGGTGGATGTGAATGAATTTCAGCCCCGATCCGCCGGCAGTGGCGGCCTTGTCGTGATGTCTGTGGCGATGAATATGGTTGCCGCAACAGTGGTGGTTTTGTCCGTCGTGATGATGGGTGTGGAGGTGACTTCCGAGAAGCAGCGGCGAAATTGAAAAATTCGTCCGCGATGGTGGTGCGGCCGTGTGTCCGTACGCCTGTGTGTGTAGTGATTGCGAAGAGGAAGAGGGTGATGGTGGCTGAGAGTGACGTTGGCGGATGCTGGTCCAGTGGGCGGCGGTCGACGACACAGCTTTACTGGAAGTAGGTCGAGTGGTCGATGATGGTGTGTGGTGCGTGTGTGTGTGTGTGTGTGTGAGAGAGAGAGAGAGAGAGAGAGAGAGAGAGAGAGAGAGAGAGAGAGAGAGAGAGAGAGAATGTATTGGGTGGGGTGTTGACTCATTGGTGGGGTTGTTTAGTTGGCAGGTGTTTTAATTAGAGAGGGGCCCACCTCTTTGGGTGTGGTGTAGAAAATTACCACACTGCCCTTAATGAAGGTATAATTTTGACTATTTTTTAAGCAGTTGGATCATCCGATCTAATGGCTACTATGTATTCTTATTTCTTTCACTGAGCACCATTCTCACCGGAGCGTGACCCTATATATATATATATATATATATATATATATATAGGGTTGGGACCGTATGAGAATGGTAGATAGTGAAAGAAATAAGAATAAATATTTATCATTGGATCCAACACATCAATAGTTATGATTAAGTCAAAACTTGGTCAATCATTAAGGGCAATATGGCAATTTAACATACACATTGTGGTCAAATATATACATTTGACCCTAATTAAGGATAAAATTGTCATTACAAACAATAACACATCAAACATGGGTCCCACACCCACTTGCCCTTCACCTTCCCCACCCCATCAATTCCCATTCCTTCTCTCTCTCTCTCTCTCTCTCTCTCTCTCTCTCTCTCTCACAAATACACACATTTCACCAAATTTTACACACACAGTCTCCTCCTCTCTCTATTAATTCCGGCGGGTCTCTCTATTCCGACCGACGAGCCTCCTCAGCCCATCTGACTCGTCTCCCCATCCGGTTGCCGGACCTCCACATCCCCGCTGCTGCGCCGCCCGTCATCGGAGACGGGATACGACCGTGAAGTCTCCGGCACAGACCAACAAGTTGTCCAGAAGGTGAGTTATGGCCGTCGTACATCGTATTCCCCGATTTGGTCGGCAATATGGTGATGGCCGTCGGCCAGGCATTTCCCAGACGGCGGCCGCAGTTGCTGAGATGAAGACGGGATCAGAAGCGACGGCCATCACGGTGGCCGGAGGGGATGGCCGTGAAAGACGTTCGGGACTGAGCTGAGGAGTAGGTTTTTGACATTTGGACATTGATGTGTGGTCTTTGTTTTGAGAATTAGATATAGTATAGGAGCATTTTGCAATTTTTAAAAATATTAATTATAACAAAATTAATTCGTATTTAAATACATAATTTAGTAAAAATCTAATAAATATCCAAATTGACAAAAAAATTGTACAACATTTGTACTCAGAAGTGAATAACTTGAAAAATAATAATAATTTTATTAAATCAAAATATAAAATGTCGTACCAAATTTCTATTCATTTGATCGTTTGTGCAATCTGGTAGACATTTATGTACAATTCGTATAACCCTGATGTGCATTCGCAATAGATAAAAAATATAAATAAAAAGTAGTATTATTTTCAATAAAAATATAAATAAAAAAAATTGGTAATATTTTTCATATGTTTCGACATGCTCGGTTATTTAGTTTATTTAAAAGCACTAGATCCGACATTTAGCCACCTAATATTATTCGATCGATTAGCATAACTAATTTTACGTGCAACGTGTTTTTTTAAAAATACTACTCAATGCACAATAATGATAATTAATATTATTGTGCACTTATTACTTTATTTATATACTAAAAATATATTTAACATTTATATTTTTTGTTTAATACCATATATTATTGTTTGCTGAAATAAATAATATATATATGATATAAAAATATTTTTTTATACATTTCGGTTAATTATGTTATTTTTCATATATAAAAATATATGAAATACTAAAATCGATTAGTTTATTCGATCGGTTAACGAGATTATTTTAGTTAATCGAATTGAAATACTGTATTATTTTTCATTATAAAAATATATCTAGTTTATAAATTGAATAAAATATAATTGAATAAAGCATATATTATATAAAAATAGGTTATTTTTTTTTAGTTATTTGAAAAAAATAACTCCGACCACGAACTGAAATAATCGTGTTCTTAGAAGTAAAAACAAATTATCAAACCAAAAAAATTAGTTAAATCGATTAAGTGCAATTCAATAGTCAATAATGTGCAATTCATCTAACAGTATAGTGCACTTACAGTGCATTTGTTTTTTTAATAATTTGCACTAACCCAAATCGATTTAAATAATCGGTAACCGAAATACTATAAATAATGTAAATAGCGTAATATTTAAATAATAAAAAAAGTACATTTAGTATTTTTAATATTTATATTTTATATTTTATATTTTTCTAGCTGAAATATATGTATATTATTTTTTATATAGTTAGTCAGTTTGATTATTTTGGTTATTTTAAAAAAATAATGTTCATACTGATCTGATATAATTGATATTTATAAATAAAAATAGATAATTGACCCAAAATATATGATTTTGAAACAAAATTTTTAGTTCATCTAATTTCGGTCATTATGTGCAATTCGTCTAACATTGCGGTGCAACTTGGTAGTCGATAAAGTGCAATTTGCACAACAATACTGTGCAACCGCAAATTATTTATTATTTATTATCATAAAAATATATTTATTTTTTTAATATTTTGTATATATTTAAATTTTACATATTAAAATTTTTTAACCAGTATACACTTTATTTATCATTAATATGCATTTATGAGATATTTTTATATTCGAAACGAAATCTTTAGTTCATTCAATTTCGATCATTATGTGCAATTCGTCTAATATTATGGTGCAACTTGGTAGTCATTAAAGTGCAATATTATTTTTTATTTAAAATACATAAATTAAACATGTATAAAAAAATATATACACACTATACCGTGTGTGTTACTCATCATTTATAATAAATAAAATGTCCACTAATGTGCAACCAAATATACATTAATGTGCAATTCGTATAACAATATTGTGCAATATAAACCAACCGATATTTTATTTCAAACCATTCTCATACAAAATAATGTGCATTTAATCTATAATAATTATTTATTTGTTAAATTTTCATTAAATTACATATTTGCCTCTTGAATTAAATTGAAATATAATGGAGTTATCTAAAATTGCACATAAGTCCCTTAAATTTACCAAAAACTTACAAAATAATGCACTAACCCTAAATCTAATTATTCACTGTTCAATTTCATCTCTCTTTTCAGATGCACTCAATCTCGTGACTTCCTTGACTCCTTACCTTTATGACCCGATCGAGCACACTTGAATGCACCAGAGAGAAAGAAATTGGGGATCTAAGAATTCACTATCCCATTTCTGAAATTGGGGCCAAATTCTGAAATAGATCCACGTTGACGGCGCCGGCGGTTCAGGCGGACACCCGAGGTCGTTAATGGGAGGACGTTAATGGAGAATCAGTGGCGGAGGTCGAGGTGGCGTCTCAGAGGTTGAGTCGGCGGCGAATGACGTCGATGAACCGGAGCTGGCGGGCCGCGATGTTGAGGATGTTAGAAATATTTAATTTGGACAACATATGTAAATTAAATGTGTATAGTTGTCATAATATAATTCAATTAAAGTGATCTACTATATTTGTTATTTTGAATAAAGAGAGTATCAAATTATTGTGGATTTAAAAGTGTAGCACCATTATGAGATTTTTGGTTTGTTGAGGGACCGAACTAAAAATTAAAATTATTTACTTACCTGGTAGTGGCCCCAAACGACGTAAATAAATTGACAGATTTTTGAACAGGTGCCTTTTCCTTAAAAGGCACCATACTGCAGTATAAAGATATATATACGGATACAAACATATATACATCGTATGTTAAAAAATACACACATATATCTGCAAAATATATCTGCCGTAAGGAACGATCGTTTGGAAGTCCTCATCAGTCTAATATACAGTAACACAAAAGCAACACAAAAGCAGTCCAGGAGAAGAGGAAAATTCTCAAATAATTAGGTATGCTTCCGCTCTTTTGTTTGTTTGATTCTCAATGATTGAACATGAATGATTTTGGGATTAAATTAAATCAACAAGTGGTATCAGAGCCAGGTTGTTGAATTTTGAGAATCAATATGTATATTTTTTTTCTCTACCTCCGTTTATTTTCATGTGTGGATAAATACTTGCAATTGTTTTTAGTTTCAATTATATATAATTACTGTTAGGATTTGAGACTACATGAATTAAGTTGCAAGTAGTTTGATTCAAGATGAAACTTGGAATCTTCAATTTTTTTTATTTTCGTAAATAAAATGTTTGGGTGATTTTGGTTGTTGAATTTTTCTCCTATCATGTTTTAGAATGTATATTATTGATTTATACTCCATTTCGTGAATTTTTGTGATTTTTTTTCATAATTTTTGGTGTGAAAATCGCATACAAAGCTTTTGGTTATGGCTGTTTTCTGGGCTGAACTGCAACGGGGTCGGGTTGACCCGCTGCAGGTTGAAGATAACGTTTTTAAAAAAAATAAATAAATAAATAAATTTGCATATGCTGCCAGCGGATTTCGAACCCAGGGCTGGGTGCAGGCTGGATTTATATTAGCATTTCTGCCAGCCTACTACCCATCTTTTTTGTTTATAGGTAGTTATAGATTAATATCTATCCTTTAGAACATATTAAACAACTTTCAAACATTAAAAATTCTTGGTTAATTATTTATTTATTAATTGTGCAGATATAGTAAATTGATTTAGTGTTGCACATATATAAATAAATATTTCAATCATTACTTTTAAATTTATTTTGGTAAATCTCATGTTCCTTTTATTTGTCTAAAAATTTAAAACAAGTTTATTGAAACAAGAAGTTGCAAAAGTGACCTCTCTTGTGTAGATTTATTTGTTAAAATTTCTGATGTTTGTATTTGTATGTTTTCATGCGAGTATTTAGTCAGCCCAAAGGAAGATTATTATTTGGCAGAAATATATAAATACTTGTGGTGGTAAATATGTGACAATATATAGTTATATCCATGTGAATAATATGTTTTTTCAAAAGAAAGGCTATTGTTTGACCGGATTTTGTCAATATTTGATTACTACACAAAGACGACCACTTACAAATTAATATTACTGTCCAAAGACTTGATACTAATGTTGTGTTAGGTGCCTTGAGATGTTTCCAAAATTATTTAAATTTGTATGATTGATGTGAGCATGTTTATTAATTTAATATTATTCTCTGTTCAGCTATGTCGTCTACTACTTCTATTTCTGCTAACACCAACAACATTCCCATGCTTAATGGGTCAAACTTCAAGGATTGGAAAGAAAATGTTCTGATCACTTTGGGCTGCATGGATCTTGACTATGCGCTAAGGGTTGAGCAACCCCCTTCTCTGACGGATGCAAGTACTGTCATTGAAAGACAGAACTTTGAGAAGTGGGAACGCTCAAATCGCGTTAGTCTGATGATCATCAAGCGCGGCATTCCGGAAGCCTTTTGAGGCACTGCTTCTGAGAAAATTACTAATGCTAGTGAGTTCCTTGCCGAAATTGAGAAACGTTTTGTAAAGAACGAAAAATCTTAGACAAGTACGCTCTTAGCAAATTTGATCTCATTAAAGTACAAAGGCAAGGGAAACATAAGGGAGTACATCATGCAGATGTCTCACATTGCTTCAAAATTAGGAGCACTAAAGCTCGAGGTGTCTGAGGACTTACTCGTTCATTTGGTGTTGTTATCTCTTCTCGCACAATTCAGTCAGTTTAAAGTCAGTTATAACTGTCAAAGGGAGAAGTGGACTCTAAATGAGCTCATTTCTTATTGTGTGCAAGAGGAAGAAAGGTTGAAGCAAGAAAAAGTTGAGGTTATTCAACTGGCTAGTAATTTCAAAGATAAAGGCAAAAGAAAAAGGGGAGAACAAGCTGCTAAGGATAAGGTTCCAACACAAAAGAAACAGAAACCTGAAAATTCGTCTGGTTGTTACTTTTGTCAAAAATCGGGACATGCAAAGAAGGATTGTGCTAAATATCACGCTTGGCGTGTAAAAAAAGGTACATTCCTTAATATGGTCTGTTCTGAAGTTAATTTAGCTTCTGTATCACGAAACACTTGGTGGTTAGATTCTGGT